GATGTTATTATGAAGACAACAACACTTCATGTTTCCAATATTTGGCCAAAAAAATTCTATCTATTGCCTGTCGAATGAGACGATTATGGTAAAAAAAGCAGGGGTTTAGACAGTCAAAGACAACTTGTCTTCAGCCTTCCGACGTATAGCTAGTCGAAGAAGATGACTATGGTAAAAAAATGAGGGTTTAAAAATTTAAAATTCAAACATAGTCATATATCCAAATATAGACAGAATATTAAAGTAATCTCATAAAATTAGGAGATATTTAATACATAAATATAATTTGAAAGTAAAATCACTTTCTGAAAAATTTACGCATGGATCAAGGAAGGATACAAAGGTTAGAAGAAAATATGAAAATTTCAAATAATGTACTTGGAAACAAATAAGTATAAAAAATTAAAGACTTTTTAACCCTATATTTTTTTCTGTGTATTTTTTTACAATTAACTCTTTTTTGTTGTACCCCCATATTTATTTGTTCAATAGGTAGTATAGTGGGTCTCACAAACAACTATCTATTCTATCATGTCTTATATAACAAATATACTAACATCATCCATTCCATTACTTTGCTTGTCACTACAACAAAAATAATTTTTTTCAATGATTTTGCACAATGTTTAGTATAATATATGGTATAGCAATCCATACCCAAAATTTTTTGAATAATGTAAAAAATCCACATGAAAAATAAACGAGTATAGTTAAATCAATGAGTTCCATTAATTATTTTTATTTGCCAATAATCTAACCATCTATACTAATTTAGTAAACTTGTTTTGACAAAAACATTATTTTATTTTATTTTTTTAATGAGTATGAGTTTCAAATATATATTGAGGGTAGAGTTAGACTCCTGGTCTTCCATCCGTTGATTCGCAATCAACGGATCGGGTTTGGATAGAATTTTTGATTGATTCAAATTCAAATTTGACTTTGAATGATCAGATAATTTGACGAATTTTATTTTTGTGGTCCATATTTGAATTCATTGACAATCTAAAATCTTATTCGATCCAAATAACTTATTTTCAAATTTTAACAAATTACATTTAAATTTCTTCAAGTAATCACTTAATTTATTTAATATTTATACAAAAATATATAAATATCGGATCGAATTATAATCAGATCAGATATATGTATATTCAAATCAAAATTTGTGAAAATATAAAATATCGAATTCAAATTCGAATTCAAATAATCAATAAAAAAATATATATCAATTCATAGTTGACTAATGAGATTCGATCTCGAATCAAAATCTGATATATTACGCTGCCTAATTATAGCACGTTGGTAGATGAGGACTTTTAAAAAGGGCGATGAACTCTTGGAATTCGAGACATAGACACATAACCTACCAGCAATGTGGCACATGTGTAACGAGTATTCAATACCAATATGCTTAGGAAGCAAGCCATTAACCTTCTTCCTTGACACAGACATCAACGGTGCTGAAAACTCTTAACCTCCTTGTTAGCTTCGTCACCGACTAGGAAATTCAATTCCACCAGCCACCTGCAAATATAAGGTTCACATGGAGGAAATAAAGATACAATGCCGGATCAAAATTTTGTTTTGAAATGTTCGAAATATTTTTGTTTTTAAAGAGACTGAAATGAATTAATTATAAAATTAAAATTATAATACTTTGAAGTGTTTCATAATATTTCAAGGTTGATAAGCTTGAGTGAGCCCAAAATCAGACACAAAGCATGTCAAGTCCAGCTCATGAGTTCGTCCCAGTGTAAAGTTGAAGAAGTCTAAAAGGAGTAATGCACGTGAGAAGTAATCATCGGGATAGTTAATCTCTCATATAAAAACTATTTTTAATTGTACCTATCTTTAACTGTAACTATCATCCCCGAAAAGGTAGAAATCTACCCTCTACAACCACCACCTCAATTAAAGCTCTGTGCCTATAAATTGTAAACTCTCTCCACATAGGGATGGAGTATCTCTCTACACACCCCTACACTAGTAATCTCTCTCTCTCTCTCTCACCTACTACTTCATCAATCAAGCCCATCGACCACTATTGTCGTTTTTAAAGTGGAGTAGGTCATCCTGACCGAACTACTACACATCTATGTGTTGTTTGTGTTGATCTCTTTTATATATTTATTACATTTATTACCTATATTAATTACTCGACAAATGGTGTATAGATCCATTTTTGTACATCATCAAAGGTGTTTTGTAATATTCTAACGGATTTACACAATTATTTCAAGATATTTCAAGATACTTTGGTATATTTCAACCAATGTTTAAAAATAATAATTATTAATATTTTTTATTCTATTTTCGAAACAGGTTGACACATTTCCGCAATATGTCGAAATATTCTCATTTTATATATAATTGAAATAATGCATCGAAACGAAATTTTGATCCTTAGATATCACTATCCTTTTCAAAAAATTCCCAACAATTTCACCAAAATCTTTTAATTTCTTATTTTCTTATATTCAACTCTATGCATTTTTTTATCCATAGAGTACAATGAATGTTCAGAAATAACTATAATAGAGTTTATTTTATTCTTATTTTGTGAATTTTGCTTCAACCTGAATTCCGATTCAAATTGTGCAGCCTAAAGATGGAAGTCAAATTGAATGAATCTCAACTTACTAATTCCAAAAAGAATCTAACATTCAACTTCAGTTATTTAACTAGAATTCAAAATTTTAAGTACGAATGAAAATGGAGTTGAAGGGTTTGTGTTGAAATGGGATTAAGTGTTCAATAATTGAAAAGTTTAATTGTGGGTTTACTTGCATACCCTTCCATTCGCAACAATTATCATTATTAACTAAGACTATTTTCAATCATGACTCAAATTTTAAGTAATATTTGAGTAAACAGCTTGATTTGATGCAAAGAATTTCAATGGACAAAATCAAATTTAAAAAAAGAGAAACTCAAATTTAAAGAAAGAAAAACTCCAAATTTAAATGAGGGCCAATTCTAATTTAAATGAGAATAAAGATGATTATTGGATTAGCAATGTTAGAAGGGCCTCATTTGGAGACCTAATGACATGGCTTCAATGCAAATATTGGATTAGTTATAAGTTCTAATGNTCGTTTTTAAAGTGGAGTAGGTCATCCTGACCGAACTACTACACATCTATGTGTTGTTTGTGTTGATCTCTTTTATATATTTATTACATTTATTACCTATATTAATTACTCGACAAATGGTGTATAGATCCATTTTTGTACATCATCAAAGGTGTTTTGTAATATTCTAACGGATTTACACAATTATTTCAAGATATTTCAAGATACTTTGGTATATTTCAACCAATGTTTAAAAATAATAATTATTAATATTTTTTATTCTATTTTCGAAACAGGTTGACACATTTCCGCAATATGTCGAAATATTCTCATTTTATATATAATTGAAATAATGCATCGAAACGAAATTTTGATCCTTAGATATCACTATCCTTTTCAAAAAATTCCCAACAATTTCACCAAAATCTTTTAATTTCTTATTTTCTTATATTCAACTCTATGCATTTTTTTATCCATAGAGTACAATGAATGTTCAGAAATAACTATAATAGAGTTTATTTTATTCTTATTTTGTGAATTTTGCTTCAACCTGAATTCCGATTCAAATTGTGCAGCCTAAAGATGGAAGTCAAATTGAATGAATCTCAACTTACTAATTCCAAAAAGAATCTAACATTCAACTTCAGTTATTTAACTAGAATTCAAAATTTTAAGTACGAATGAAAATGGAGTTGAAGGGTTTGTGTTGAAATGGGATTAAGTGTTCAATAATTGAAAAGTTTAATTGTGGGTTTACTTGCATACCCTTCCATTCGCAACAATTATCATTATTAACTAAGACTATTTTCAATCATGACTCAAATTTTAAGTAATATTTGAGTAAACAGCTTGATTTGATGCAAAGAATTTCAATGGACAAAATCAAATTTAAAAAAAGAGAAACTCAAATTTAAAGAAAGAAAAACTCCAAATTTAAATGAGGGCCAATTCTAATTTAAATGAGAATAAAGATGATTATTGGATTAGCAATGTTAGAAGGGCCTCATTTGGAGACCTAATGACATGGCTTCAATGCAAATATTGGATTAGTTATAAGTTCTAATGTTAGATGAAGTCCACAACTAATCTAATAGTTGTATATCGTTAAATTCCTAAATAAAATTTTTAAATTAGGTCCAAATAGCATTTTCCTTTGGTATAAATTTGAGTCAAGAACAAATGTTTTGAATTTTTTTTACTCAAATTTAAATTTGAGTTAAAATTAAAAATACTCTAATTGATGGTCATATAAGCGAGGACTCATATCCTCTCTAACATACTTTTTCTTTAAAATTTTTTTTAACAGATCATATATTATTAACGAGTAAGAAACTTGCGTGTATATAATAGACCCCACATAAATACATGTCAGATATTAGATGAAATCTCAATACTATGAGTGATAAAAAAATCTACTTGTGTCGGGGTTGTGTCATAAGATATCTTAATTTCGGCGTAGATTACCCATCTTTAATCCGATCATAGAGGAGAGAGAAGATTAGTTACGGAGATAATTAGTCAAAATATTCATAAATTAACTCATGCAGTACTTGCGGTGGAATCAGATCCGTGAAGAGAGCCACTAGAAGAACAAAAATTGATCTTCTTCAAACAAATTAGAGGACCACAAGAGGAGATCCCATTCATACGCGTAGAGAAAGAGAACAATCAAAGCCAACCAGTATGTGTGGCTCTCAGTGCGTCCACACATTTCTCTGGCTCCAACCTCCAATAGGTTTCTCTCGCTCCACCCTCCAATATAAACCTAAGGCTCTCATATTACCACCCAAAATCATATCACTTTACACCAAACCCATACAAAGAAACACCATCAGACACCTACCGCAGAGTTCTGAACATAGGAGAAAAACCTCTCAACTTTCTTCAAGAAAATCTAAGAGAACTTAACAGCTCTTGTGTTCTTCAATGGCTACTTCAATTTCTGCAACTGGGTTTCAAGGTGGTTTTTGTGCTTCTTCTCATGGAAGTTGGAAATCATCCATGGCTGGTGAAGATTACACCATGCTGGCCAAGTCCGTGCCAACCCGTGTTCGAGTCGGAAGGCCGGTGAGATCAGTGCCAATGATGAAGAACGTCAATGAAGGAAAGGGTCTTTTTGCTCCGGCGGTGGTTGTGACGCGTCAGATTATCGGCAAGAAGACGTTCAACCAGCTAAGGGGCAAAGCAATTGCTTTACACTCGCAGGTATGACTCCTACCAGTCTCATGAATTCCTGCAACTGATGCAAAAAGTAGTTTGGATCCTTTGAAACTAGGCAGAGTTCTAGAGGGTGAACAGTGAAGTTTGGCCGAACATAGGCACACAATTCTCATTGCGTGATCAGGGTTCGGCCACATCACCTGCATCAACCGTTAGCCAAATAAGGCCTCGAGTGTGGGTTCAAGTTCTCTTCGTGCTAATGTGTGAGGTCAAACTTAAAGAGTAACTACTACCAATTCTATAAACAAAGTTGTGTTAGATCAAACTTAGGAGATAATACTATCAAATCCTAGAAACAGGGTGAAGTTCGGCCTAACACAAGTGTTCTCGTCGAGAATCAAAATTTGGTTTCAAAACTTTTAAAATATTTTTATTTTAAAAGAGAGCAAAACAAAACAGTATTGAAATTAAAATTCTAATATTTCGATGTAGTTCATAATGATTCGAAGTGATTTGTAATGTTTTAATATATTTGCATAATTATTTCAGAAATGTTTTAAAATATTTTGGTATATTTTGACTAATATTTTAGAAAAATAATTCTTAAATTTTTTATTTTTTTTATTCTGTTTCTGAAACGAATCAAAACATTTTTGAAACTCGTCAAAACATTTCCGTATTCCCGTTTTCTAGGTGACCAAAACTAAATTTTGGTCCTTAATTCTCATCGTGCGGTTAGTATTCAGCAGCATCGTCCTGCATCACCCGAGTGCGAAATAAGGCATCAGTTATGCAGTCATATCTTAGTTATAGACCAAACTTGAGAAAGGATCCGGATGGTCCTAATTACATGTTATCTGTCATCACATTGTTTAGCCAAGTTTGATGGTTTTTGGTTACAAGTTTCATATATTTTTAACAGTACAACTAGTTGGTTTCATAGAAAGACATATAAGCTTACTGATGATACGATCAAATACTTTCAGGTAATCACAGAATTCTGCAAATCAATCGGGGCAGATCCAAAACAACGACAAGGATTGATTCGGCTGGCAAAGAAGAATGGAGAGAGACTTGGATTCCTTGCATGATGAGAGAGAATTGTATTTGAAGTTCATAGTTTGTATTTAGGATATCTCCAGATGAAAACACTCTCACCATCCTCATCTGGGTTTTCCCTTGAAAATCAGAATGTAAACTAGAATGACACTCTTTATCATATTCACTTTACACCATTCCAATTAGCTATAATATTGTTTCCTGCAATAGAACACAAGTAGAGACTGTATCATATGTGCTCCCAGATTCTAGCACCTTAGCCACTAAACGGAACAATTGAGATGAATTATCATGAATTGTAACGCAATTGTTAAATCTGAACATACAGGATTGGTGTCAGGTTTCTAAATTACCGACACACATGATGTAAGCGTAAAACATCCAATAATATTGTAAATTATAACACTGAAATTTCCTAATCAAGTTATGTTTCTTCTTTTGAAAATGGAGACAAGGGAGCAGAAGAGAGACGATTAAATGGGTAGCTAAATGTGTGGGAAAAAGACACGGTGAGAATTGAGAACAGAGAGAGAGAGAGAAAAATTCATGTTCTTCCTTGGTGCATGACATTATTCTGTAGAACATCGTCATGTTCCTATACTACATTATGTGCAAATTATATATCTTGAGTGTTTTATGATATTAGCATGATGAATTCTACTTAACAACTATTTTGTAAACACTACAATGCAAAATCATAAATGATGTAATCAACTAAACAAGAAATTTTAGAGGAAGTTTGAAAAGCACAAGCAAGTTTGCAAATATACCACATCAACTCATCTGAATTTATATTTTCCAAATATCAAAATAGAAACATGGTATTACATCAAATGGAAATTTTAAATGAAAAATCATGTGCAAAAAGTTGCAGTAGGAATGCATACAAACCAAATCAAACTTCAAGTTCTTTAGTCCTTGACTCTAATGAAATTTACATGAAAGATGTAGGAGATATTATCAGTGACATCAATTATCTCCTTCCACTTCCTTCCGATGCAGATGGGCATCAGAAGAGTCAAAAATCAACATCAACTAATCACATGCCATCTTAGGGATTTAAACGAATAAAAACATTCATGGTATGCACAGAAAGACTGCGACTAAAATTCAAACCAAGGGTGAAGGAAAGGCATCAAATGGTTTAGAAGGTGATGCCCCAATATCAATGATGATTTTATGAGCTTTCAATTGCCTGTTGAAACAGATCGGAATCATTCATGCCGGCATGGTATATGGAGAACCTCTGTAATTTTCCTTCTAGATTATTATTTGTGGGATTAGATATAGATGTGTCATTGCATAACAACTGATGCCATTGACTAGAGATGTCCAAGCTATAAACCAAACAAGGTAGGAAAAGGAGATTCAAAGTGACAATTTGAGATAACATACAAAAACTTGGAAGTTGGGAGCTTTTTGAAGAATTTAAGTGTGGATAAGAAGAAAACTAGAAATAATGAAAGACACTTCGTCAACGACCAAAGGAATAAGTGCATCAACAACTCATTCTTTCATCTAAACAACTCTCTAGCTTGACTTCATGGGCGACTTCTATCAGCCAAGGAATTACAGCACCTTACAAAAATCATAAATTCTGCAAAAAATTATATTTAAATGACATGCATTGGTTTAAAATTCAGAAGTTTAGCTATCCCATGTTCCACAAAGACTGGCTTGGGGATCAGTCAGACTATTGGACAACATGTCATAAATAATTATCCATTCCTCAATGCTATCCATTTCGAAGAATTTCAAAATGTAACATTTTTTCTCGACATTATTGATATTAGCTTTTTCTGGAGGGCATGAAACAGACCCTACGGCAGCCACTTAAAATCAGCTTCTATTGGTTGAAATATCCCCCAGGTGATGATCCCAAAAAATCTCAAGTTTTTAGGCTTTTAAATAAATTTCATTCTTATGAAGGTAATTGCTTAACATTCCTTCAAATCAGGTCATAGTCGTAGAAACTTTTCAAGGATATGCACATGGAACAATTGTGATGTGATTTGGGTCCATAGGAAGGTAACGTGGCTTCAAGGATCACTAGTAGATATGGAATAGTATGCAAATTTTGATATAATCTTTTACTTATGGAACTCTTTCAAGGTGTAATCCTTCTAAAACTGTTGTGACCTAGTAGGTTGACTCCTAATTAATTAATGCAGTAGGTAGAAAGATTCTAATTTAAAGGTATTTAGGCTTTTTGTAGGCCTATAAATAATTTCCATTGGGTTCAAACAAAATGTTGAAATCAGCCTCCCATGATTCGATTTTTGAGTGCTCATAACAGCCTTCTTATTTCTCCTCCCCATTCCCTCAGTCTCTTATTTCTCTTCCTATTCGCTTGCCTACTTTCCTCTCATCTCCTCTCTGTTGGTTCTCTTCTCTCTTCTCTCCTTTTTTCTTCTCTCTCGTTATGGATGCTAGGGCTCTCTCTCTCTCTTCTTCTTACACACTCCTTTTGGATTCCGAAAGATTTCTGTATTCTCTCTTCTTGTCTGTCTTGTCTTCGCTAGTCGTTCTCTCGCATACCTCCTTGTCATTTATATGCCATTTACAAACACCATGCACATGCTCACACACACAAAGTAAATAAACTACATCAACAGCTTATACATCTTAGATCTCTCTATCCTATCCATCGTTTGTTCTCTCCATTTGATATTTCAAAAAATCAAGCTATTGAATTGCAACAAGTTACTATCAAAAGATGAAAAAAATGTTATCCAACTTTTTATGGCAGCCACATCCCACATGCTTGATGAAGTTATAGTGCAACCAAAACCACATCAGGTGTTCAAGAATATTCAAGCATCGGCGTACCCTCTCTGAGATAAATATTATATTTCTCAAGTACTCAACACTTTCCGTAAGCAGGTGACATACATATGACACCGATATTCAAATCCACCACTGTGCCCTAATCCCAGATATTAAGTGATATATGTTTTTCCTCCAACAAGGAATCCTGAGAGGCCAGGTTCCATCCTAAGCATAAAGGAATGATCAAGAATGGTGAAACGAACCATGGGGATGGGGAAGAGGAACGACCATACATTTACAGCCAAATTGGAATCAGACCATCTAAGCATAATTTCGCAAGAGGTATCGAGGTAATTATTTTCCATACACCCACTTTTTCTTTTTTAAGCCTAGCTGTTGTGCTATTTCCATTTCTTTCCTCAGCGGCTCAACCCAGTTCCAGGGACCCTCCTCTCGAGAACAATCTGATGTACGTTTTTATAAGCTCCTTATCCCAGTACCAATTTTCGTGTCAATTTGGAAATTAATAGACTGACAGAAAAATGAGGATGCGTTTTTCTCCTCTACCAAAAGCTTCCAGAACAGAACCAAAAAATTAAGTACAAATTTTAATAAGGGGAGAAGTTATATTATACCGGACTTTAACACTGCCTTTTGTGCAGTACACCAAAAAATGGAGCTATTAACAAAGAATGCAATGTCAAATATGCACAAGCGAATAAAAAAAGCACATAGAAAATATAGAGATATAATGGGATCAGCATCCTAAATAACACTAAATTGGTATATTCAACCTGAGCAGCCTCGTTCAATGCTGTCTTAGTCCACAACACAGGTTGATCCTGCCTTTAACGCACACTGGCAACCACACCACATATCTTATCAGCCTCATTAAAGTGCTCCCCAATCAAAGCCATCAACTGCCCAACAAAATCCCATTAATGACCGAACCAAATGCCAACAAAATTAACAACCAACAGTTCACGTCGTCCAAACTAAACATCACAAACGAGTAAGAACACTTGTAAAACCAAGAAAGATCAGATTTTTACAGTTTCGAGCCACATACTGTCGAGACTAGCCTTTTTGTTACTTTTAACAGTCCAATTGCCTCCATGGGCACACTCAGGATCTTCCCATTTGGGCTCAATCCCACCTTTGAACAAATAAAAATAGAAAATTGCACCAAACTTGCTGGGCCTAAATATCTGATCATACAAACTGCCAGAAATTTCAAATATTTATACACTTAAATAAATCCAAAAGAGCAAACAGTAATAATCCAAACAACACTATACATTACTACACACACACACACACACACACACAGATATATATATATATAGAGAGAGAGAGAGAGTTAGGGTTAATACCACCAGAATTCTTCAACGGTGTCGAAGGTGTAGACCTTGCGAAGCGAAAAGCCCCAAGCGGCGCGTGGTTTGGGCTTCCACATGTCGTCGAACCAAAGCGACCACTTCCTCTCCAACTTGTGGGGCTGCTTCGCCACCGTCTCCGCCGTATGAGCCTCCGTCGCCGTAGCTTCCACCACCCCTGCCTCACTCGCCATTCGCTTTCTCTCTCTAAAACCTTCAGCTTTCTCTTTTTCCAGTGTTCCCTGATATTTCTTATTGGGCTTGTATGAAGGCCCAATTAAGGCAGATTTTAGACTTTTGTTGGGCCAATATAAGTAGGCCACAAGTTTGTAACCCAATTGGATTGCCAGTGTGTAGAAGGGTCTTTGTGTTTTATTATCTAATGTTTTGGGAAAAATAGAAATTGGTACAAAAATTTAAATTTATTTGAGATAAAATACATTAAGAAAACTTATTATGCCCTAGATACATTTTTATGGAAAAAGATCAAAAGATCATTCAATAAAAGTAAAAAAAATTGCAAGGTGCAAGTTTTTACTCTCTCTCTCTCCTCTATTTTTTCTTTCTCCCTCTCTCATTATCTCTCCTCTATTTTCTGTCACCACTGTGTATTCAAGGCACAATTACTCTCTCTCTTGAAGAGAAAGTTTAGGTTTCTGTTAGGAATTCAGATTAGTAGCAGCATTCAGTTTGAATAAGCCTAGTCTTTATGGTATTTGTTTGGTGTTTCTTGACTTCTTCTAGTTGCACTAATCACGTTGATTAGTTGTAAACGTAAGCTAGTTTTTCTCATTCTGTTAAGATTGTAGAGGGCTATTTATAAGCCTAGATTGTTCAATAAGAAAGTAGTCATTTCCAGAATTGTTGTGTACTCTTTTTTTTGTGTTTCAATTCTTAACATTTTGGTATCAGAGCCCCCACTGGGCTTGACAAAATCAAAGCAGCAGTCTTTGACGTTCTTGCAGCAGCAAAGAAAATGACAACCAAAGGGAATTTTGTGCAGTCAGTCATCCCTCACTTCGATGGTTATTATGACCATTGGAGCATGCTGATGGAGAATTTCCTGTGATTTAAAAAATATTGGGGGCTGGTAGAGACTAGCTATGTTGAGCCAGAGAGTGGAGCAGCACAGACAGAAGCACAACGAAAGGGGCTAGATGAATTGAAGCTGAAAGACCTGAAAGTCAAAAATTATCTCTTTCAGGCCATCGATCGGACGATATTGGAAACCATTCTCGTGAAGGATACTTCCAAACAAATTTGGGAGTCTATAAAGAAGAAGTTTGAACGGAATGCTAGGGTTAAGAGGTCACATCTACAAGCTCTCCGTAGAGAGTTTGAAACCCTAGAAATGAAGGCTGGAGAAGGAGTCTCCGAGTATTTTTCAAGAGTGTTGTCAGTGGCCAACAAGATGAGAACACACGAAAAGCAGATGCAAGACGTCACAATGGTGAAGAAGATTCTTAGATCATTGAGTGAGAAGTTTAATTATGTTGTTTGCTCGATCGAGGAGCCCAAAGACATTGATCAACTCTCCATTGATGAACTGCAGAGTTCTCTGATTGTTCATGAGCAAAAATTCCAACGACATACAAGAGAAGAACAAGCACTCAAGATAACCTCTGAAGACAGGTTTGGTGCAAAAGGACGAGGTTGAGGTGCATACAGAGACAGAGGAAGAGGGAGAGGTCGCCAGTCTTACAACAAAGCAACAGTGGAATGCTATAAGTGTCACAAGCTTAGACACTTTCAATCTGAGTGTCCAAGCTGAGATAAGGAAGCCAATTACACTGAATTAGTAGACGAAGACGAGATGTTGTTCATGTCATATGTGGAGATGAACGGTGCTCGAAGGGAAAATGTTTGGTTCCTAGATTTTGGATGTAACAACCACATGTGTGGTGACAAGAGTCTGTTCTATGATCTAAATGAGGACTTTAGGCAGAAGGTAACGCTGGGAAATAACACGAGGATGGTTGTGTTAGGAAAAGGCAACGTGAAATTGACAATAAGTGGCTTTACACATGTTGTTAGTCAAGTATTTTTTGTGTTTGAACTAAAGAACAATCTTTTGAGCATTGTTCAACTACAAGAAAGAGGGTTGACGATTCTCATTCAACATGGAAAGCTCAAAATTTATCATCCAAAGAAAGAGCTCATAATACAAACCGAGATGACAACAAATCAGATGTTTGTGTTGCTAGCAAACTCACTGTCTTCAAAAGGCAGCTTGTCTCTACACTTCCATGCAGGATTTGGCACACTTATGGCACTGTCGCTATGAACATTTGAGTTACAAAGGATTGAGGACACTCTAATTCAAGAAGATGGTGCATGGGATACCTCAGTTCAAGAATCCATCAATAGTGTGTGCTAATTGTATGATTAGGAAGCAACACAGGGATTCAATCCCAAAGAAGAACAATTGGAGGGCCATAGATAAGCTCCAACTAGTTCATGCAGACCTCTGCGGACCAATCTCTCCCATCTCCAATAGTAAGAAGAGGTACATTATATGTTTTATTGATGACTTTACTAGAAAGGCATGGACTTATTTTTTTGTAGAAAAATCTAAAGCATTAAGCATGTTCAAACGTTTTAAGAGTTATGTTGAGAAAGAAGTAGGAGGGTATGTAAAATGTTTGAGAACAGACCAAGGAAAAGAGTTCACATCATTTGAATTCAATGAGTTTTGCATAGAGCATGGCTTCAAGAGGCAATTGACTGCAGCATATACTCCACAACAGAACGGAGTAGATAAAAGGAAAAATCGAACAGTGATGAACATGGTTCAATGCATGCTGTCTAGAAAAAACATTCCTAAGACTTTCTGGCTAGAGGCAGTAAACTGGACAACATATGTTCGAAAATCGGAGTCCTACATTGTTGTAAAGAATCAAACACCTGAGGAAGCTTGAAGTGGAAGCAAACCCTCAGTTGAGCATTTTAGGATTTTCGGATGCGTGGCACATGTGCATATTCTTGATGTGAGAAGGACAAAGCTAGATGCAAAGAGCTTCACCTGTGTGTTATTGGGAGTAAGTAAAGAGTCTAAGGCATATAAACTCTATGATCTAGTTGCAAAGAAGGTCGAATCGTAATTAGCAGGGATGTAGTGTTTGAGGAAGACAAGTCTTGGAATTGGAATGTGATTATGAAGAAATAATGAGGCAGTGAACGCAGAGAATGATGGAGCAGTGAGTGGGGTAGAAGAAGAAGTCACTGAAGAACCAGTTGATAGTCCTCAAATTGGTGAGAATGGAAGAGAATCATCCAGTTCTGATGAAAGAAGAGCTAGAAGGCCCCCAGGGTGGATGAGAGATTATGTAAGTGGGGAAGGGCTTTCGGAGGAAGAAAATGTTAATTTGGCTCTATTTGCTTTAGCAAATCCAGTGCATTTTGAGGAGGCAGTGAAGCATGACCACTGGAGGATAGCTATGGACATGGAGATGAAGGCCATAGAGAGAAACGACACTTGGGAACTCACTGATCTGCCTAAAGGATCAAAGAAGATTGGAGTGAAGTTATAAGACCAAACTTAAGGAGAATGGAGAACTGGAGAAGTGGACAAGTTCAAGGCTCGTTTGGCGGCCAAGGAGTATGTGCAACAACAAGGGATAGACTACACATAAGTGTTTGCACCGGTTGCGAGAATGGATATAGTGAGAATGATTGTGGCTCTACCAACTCAGAAAAGATGGACTCTCTATCAACTTGATGTCAAATCCGCCTTCCTGCATGGGGAACTTAATCAAGAAGTGTACGTGGAGCAGCCTAAGGGTTATGAGCTGAAGAACAATCCTCAGAAAGTATACAAGTTGAAGAAAGCCCTCTATGGGCTAAAACAAGCCCCGCAAGCTTGGTTCAGTCGTATTGAAGCACATGTCATAAGTGAAGGGTTCGAAAAATGTTATACTGAACATACTTTGTTCACTAAAACAAAAAAAAAGAGGTAAGATTCTCATTGTCAGTTTATATGTAAATGATTTAATATTTATTGGCAATGATGAATTGATGTTTGCTGAGTTTAAGAATTCCATGTTGAGGGAGTTTGATATGACCGATTTGGGAAGAATGAGGTCTTTTCTTGGCATAAAAGCATTGCAAAGGTTGGATGGGATTTATATTTGTCAGAGAAAGTATGTTTTGGAGGTATTGAAGAGGTTTAGGATGGAGAATAACAACTCGGTTCATAATCCCATTGTTCCAGGTTGTAAACTTTTTAAAGATGAGAATGGGGTTGGTGTTGATGAGACTTTGTTTAAACAAATGGTGGGATGCCTCATGTACTTAACAGCGACGAGGTCGGACTTGATGTTTGCAGTAAGCTTGATTAGCAAATACATGGCTAAATCAACTGAGTTGCACTTGCTGGCAGCCAAGAGGATACTGAGGTACTTGAAAGAAACCACAGGACTTGGAGTTTTTTACAAGAAAGGAGGGTGTGAAGGTCTGGTTGGTTATTCAGATGATGACTATGCAGGAGATCTAGAAGACAGGAAAAGCACATCAGGCTATGTCTTCATGTTAGGATCTGGAGCTGTTGCCTGGTCCTCAAGAAAACAACCTATAGTCACACTTTCAACCACTGAAGTAGAGTTCGTGGTTGCAACTTCTTGTGCTAGCCAAGCTATTTGGATGAAGATGATACTTGAGAAACTGAGTCTGGAGGAAAGTAAGTGTACTACAATCCTTTGTGATAATAGTTCCACAATTAAATTATCAAAAAACCTTGTTTTACATGGTCAAAGCAAGCACAATGATGTGCGCTTCCATTTTCTTCGTGATCTCACACGAGAAGGAGCAGTTGAGTTGGTTTATTGTGGAACACAAGATCAATTGGCAGATATGATGGCAAAGCCCCGCACATTGGATGCGTTTCAGAGGTCTCAGAGTCAGTTGGGAGTTTGTCAAGTTCTTGAATTAAACTAATTGCAATTGGGAACTAGTTTAAGGGAAGGAATGAAGAGAAAGTTTAGGTTTCTGTTAGGAATTCAGATTAGTAGCAGCATTTAGTTTGAATAAGCCCTAGTCTTTAGGGTATTTGTTTGGTGTTTCTTGACTTCTTCTAGTTGCACTTATCACGTTGATTAGTTGTAAGCGTGAATTGTTGTGTACTCTATTTTTGTGTTTCAATTCTTAACATCTCTCTCTCTCTCTCTCTCTCTCTCTCTCTCTCAATCCAAAGCCGACATTCTTAAACGTTGTTGTATTGATACTTCAAAAGAAATACACTAAAGAGATCATAACTAATTGATAATTTATTTTCTTTTCAAATATGTAAAAATTTTATATAATTGGATATCAACGTTACACCAAACAGTTATTTTGATATAATCAGATATCAACTTTACACCAATCAATTACGCTTGCACTATGATACACCATAGAGTTACACATGCATTCTGATAGACCAAACAGGGACACAAAATGATAACACCATAGCCAATGCATTATTTAGTTGTTTATATAAACCAAAGAATTACACTATTTAGTATCACCACATTATTACACTAATAAAATACAACAAAATGGGTGAATCAAAAAAAAAAAAAAAACCAAAGATGAAAAGTTAATGTAACTGTTTAGTGTAACATTGATGTCCAATATATGTCAAAGTAATTGTTGATGTAACGTTGATATACGATTATATCAAATCTTTACATATTTGAAAAGAAAATAAATTATCAATCAGTTATGATCTCTTCGGTGTGTCTATTTTAAAGTATCAATAGAACGATGTTTAAGAATGCCGACTTCGGATTGAGAAAGAGAAAGAGAGAGTAATTGTGCCTTGAATACGCAGTGGAGAGATAAAATGGGAGAGAGAGAGAGTAAGAGTGGGAGAGAGATAGAGAAATAGAGAGAAAAAAAGAAAGTGAATGAGAGAATAAAAATAAATGTTTAAAATTCAGATGAATGATAAAATCTAATCAAATATTTACATATTTGATTACAAAAAAAAACTCTCAATCAATTATGCATTATTTAAAGAAGAGTAAACAAGTAATATAAATAAAAAGTTATTTGAATTTTGTACATGATAAAAAGATATTTTAATAAAAGTGAACTTAATAGAGTAAAAATTTTATCAATACACTTGCTCTTAAATAAGTCTAAAAAAATATACCTACACACAAAAAACCCTTTATCTAATCCATCAATTTTTAATACGGCAACCAAACGAACCCAATATTATTTATTATATATGTGAATTGAAGAAGAGTTGAATTTTTTAATTCATATCTTTTAGTTCTCTGTCATTGAGTTCACTATCGTAGAGTTCACTGTTAGTGGAGGGGGTGTTGGGTGATGGTGGTGGATTTCTATGGAAGAAGAGCTAGAATTATCCATGAGAAAGGGGGTTTGGCAAAGTGCAAGACACAAGAGTAATATTATCATTTTAAAACAAAGAGAAAAATTAGTTTGGACTTCTCGCCGTAAAAGTTTAACTGAACTAGACTTCACGCCTTAAAAAGTATATAGCTAAACTTATTGACAAATTAAGTTCAGACTTTGTAGTTTTCAACAATTTTCACTTTTAAAAATTCTTTTTGATATTAAATACGAGTATACATATTTTAATGCTTTAAGGCTAATTTTAATATTTGTTTACGTCACTCAGTCCAATTCTAAGAAAACTAAATTTAGAAATTCTTTTTTATTTACATTTTTACGTTACACTTCAATTGCCTTTTAAAACTCAAAAGAACACTTGTTGAACTTTTTGACCAATTTTTAAAAAAAATTTGACCGGCCACCAAAAACCCTTTTTAAAAATCTAGTTATGCGAAGACGTTTTTGTTCAAAAATATAATGAATGTCTAATTTTAAAGAAGTGTGAAGCTAATTCAAACAAATACTTAACATTTGAATTGCTTTAATGGTTTTACATCACACTTAAAGTAGGACGCATTGGCTTAACAACGGATCTAAATCTCTTTCAATATATCTTTTAAGAATTTTTTAATAATAGATCATCCACTATATATCTAGCGGTAAGCATAGGTACGACTCTTGGCTCTTGTGTGAATTCCTATTTGACCATTGCACTTGTATGGTCAGTGCGTGTGACACTTATCTTCTCAAGAAGTGAGATAATATGTGGTGAGGTAAATTCTCTAGAGGTTAGCTTTTTCAGATATTTGGTCAAAAAAAAAATTCATATATAACGTATCAAAGTAAGATTTGAATCGAATTGGGATCAAAATTCGATCTATAAAAATATGCACACGACTATAGATATATCAGTAGTATGTCTCGACAAACCCTTTTAATTCGGGCTTTTTGCACTTTTCATCTAGAAAGATTTTAAAAATTTTTACTTTATACTCTCAAAAATTAATTTGTTTACATTATACTCATAATGTATCAAAAGTGTTGTAACGTGACCCTTCTAGTGACTTTCTGTTTGTTTTTTCGTCATTGTCGATGAGAACAATTTGTGAACTAAAATTTATTTTAACACAGGCCAATTACCTCTGCAATTTGCTCACACACTTGGTAGTTGATGAATGGTGTAGCACAACTCTTACCATATCAATTTGAACCAGAACTTTGCTGCTACATTTATGTTACGATGTGATCAATTGAAAATCTGCAATCTTTCGGGCAACGTAGTATAGAGAATTGGGAAGCTAGAACGTCCATTGTATGCTTGGAAGTCCGACGATATCCCTCCACTTGTCTCCGACTGCCCCAAATTCGGTAACCACTGCCGATCAGTTTCCTCCTCACCCCAGCTTTGTATTGTTGGACTTGCTTTAGTTCATCACTTGGACCCCTATTTATACCAAAAAAAATAAATAAATAAGAGAAGTGGCAATATGGCAGGTAAAGTAACCATTTTTAAAATGAATCAAAGTTGATCAGATTTTTAAGTTGTTTATGCTGATGAGACCAACCTTAACAATGTGTGACTTCACTTGAATAGATTCCAATGTATTTGAGCATATTCAAACTCGACCCCCAATTATAAATCTCTCACACACACACACAAATACATTACAAACCTTAATATGGGACTAGTCCACCCATGGTAGCCAACATTAACAATGTTGTCAATAGTGGTAGATCTGAGATGTTCCCTTCTAGAAGAAACCAAAATGATTTGAACTCCAAGATCCTTGAGCACATTGAAGAGCTTTAGAGAGTGCTCAAGAGCTGGTCCCTTGCCCTTGCTCATCCATTCTTCCAAAGAGGTCCAATTCAACTTCTCTCCCCTGTAAAAACCTCAAGACATCACATTAGAAGCAACAAGTACATAATTGAATGCACACCACTAATACCATCCTCAGCAACCATGATTTTCTACAATATATGCTCATTACTATCATTTATATATTTTAGCACGAATATGACAAGAACCCAACAGGATATGGACTCGAAAAATGACAATTTAACATGAACTGTTTAATTAATGTTGTGAAAAATATAATATCAGTTGAAATGTAGATTTGTTAGAGACTCATGTCTAATGAATGTGGCTTAGATAGAAAGAAACACTAGTTGTGTTGTTTCTCATTTACAGTTTACATGAATTTGACTCGTGCACGACATGAATCTGAAATGATATGACGCGAACATGATACGTACTCCTTGATTGATATCTCCCATAAATAACACTCTTCTAAGCATTCAGCTGAGTGCATTTTCCAACAATCTCCGTGGATAAACATGAATATATGTTAGTTTGGCAAAGTAGTAGAATAGAGAAAATTACCCAAAATCATGTTTCTTTTGGTAAGGCACAATTGAAAGGAGAGTATCATCAACATCAAAAGCCCACGCATCAAACCCATCTTTCTTCAAGCCACAACTAGTGCTGAGATAAACAATGCACTCATCAATGGCCCTCTCAGAGTCCACCTTGTACTAAGTCCCTGTCATGTACTTCCCAATGTAATCAACACATTCTTGTGGCACAACTTCAAATTCTCTAATGTTGTGTAGCTCCATATTCATCCTCCAACCCTCACAATAGTTCTTCAAGGTGATTTTGAGCCCATTGTTGTTCACTTTTTGATTCAAAAATGTTCCAATCTGAAGTTGTTAAGCCAAGGAAGAGAGGCAAAATGGCTAAGAAAGTTGCAAGTTTTTTCTTGGGGGGTTGAAGTTATTTAAGTAGCTATTTGTATGTGGGAATTGAATAGGAAATTCAAAGTGGGTAACATGGATGTGGGTGGGGGGGTAGTTGTCACCAAGTGATTGTTTGTACCCCAATGTCACATGGAAGTCTTGGTGGCAAATGAGTTTAACTGAAAGGAAATAATTTATAAATTGATAGAAATATGTTGTTTGGATCTTCTCAAATTAGGCCGAATTTTAGGGTGTGAAATTCAATCTACCATAATCATTCGATTCATGATTTCTCATGTGAATTCACATCAACCAATCTATTTTATGATTAATCAATCCCTCGTGGGTGCAAGAGAAAGTGAAGCGTATGAGTTATTAGAAAAGTAGTGGGCACAATAACCATGAGTCGATCTCAAGGTGACGATTGTTATATTTACCTTTTGACACAAAAAAACGATGTTTTATGTTGATAACAAGGGGTGGAGTTACCCTTTCACTTGGTTTGTTGCTTAAGCGCATAAGAGCAGCAAAATCTCGTCTCGTAATTGACATTAATAAAGCATTTATAAGCTCTAAGATCTCATTTAGTATTTGTTAAATAATCTAATAAAAGAGAAATACAAGAGATAAGAAAAGAGCAGGTTAGAGTTTTATTGATACTGCATAATTCAATTGAATACAAAGAAGTGATTTAACCTAAATTCAAAGAGATTATTTATAGGTTAAACAAAGGGAAAGCAAATGACTATTCTACGCTTAATAAATAAAATAATCCTATATTTCTTAACATCTCCCCTCAAACTCACAATGCGGCAGCTACAAGCATCGAGAGTTTACCAACTAGAAAACAAAAACGAGAAATAGAATGCGACTTGGTAAATAAATCTGCAATCTGCAAAGAAGAAGAAACAAATGGCAAAGTAATGGTGTCATGCTTGAGATAATGACGTGTAAGGTGACAATCAATCTTAATGTGCTTAGTTCGTTCATGAAAAATTGAGTTGTGAGCAATCTGAATAAAACTCTGGTTGTCACAATACATAGGAGTGGGATGAGAAAGAGAAACTCTCATGTCTGCAAGTAACCAACGTAACCAAACAATCTCTTTGGTAGTAGATACCATAGCACAATATTCTACTTCGATTGAAGATTGAGAAACAATAGATTGTTTCTTGCTCTTCCAAAAAATAAGAAAATCACCCAAAAAGATACAGAAACCAGTAACAGACTTGCGATCAATGGGATCACTGCCATGATCAGCATCAGAGTATACACACAGCTCCAAGGAAGAGGTGGATGGAAGTAAAAGACTCTGAAAGACTGTACCCCGAAGATACTGTAAAATNGAAGAAGAATATGGAAAAAAGTAGAATACTTAGAAAAAGACAAAGAACAAAAATACTAACAACAAACCCAAAAAAATAAAAAGAAAAAAAGAAAAACTGAGAAGAAAACTATTACGAAGAAAAANTGTAAAATACGAAGAACACCTGTCCAATGAACTGTAGTAGGAGAAGCAACAAACTGACTAACAACACGAACATCATATGCAATATCTAGACGAGTAATATTGAGATATACCAAACTCCCAATAAGAGTACGATATAAAGTAGGATCTGACAAAGGTAAATCATCAGAAGAAGAATACTTTGCGTTAACCTCAATGAGAGTATCTACAGTCTTATTATTAGTAAGTCTAGCTCGCTCAAGAATATCTGCAACATATTTCGACTGAGAAAGAAGATAACCTCTGGGTGAGCAGGCTACCTCAATACNGATAACGACAAAGAAGAAGAATGCTGAAAATAAGAAAACGAGAAAAAACCTAAGCAAAAGAATACTTATATAAAGGAGAATAATGCTGACAAGAAGAAAGATACTAAGAAGCAAAAGAAGAAGAAAAAAATTTTATTGAGAAGGAGATGATGCAAAAGAATATCGGGAAAAAAAAAAGATGAAGAAGAATACGGAGAGCAAGAAAAGAAAAAAAATACTAAGAAGAATAGTGAGAAGGAAAAGAAAAAGAAGAATACTAAAGGAAAATATCCGAGAAAAACAAGAAAAAAGAAGACGAAGAAAAAAATTGTTAGAAGACTTGGGGGANAAAAATACCATCAATATCATCACTAGTAATAATCATGTCATCAACATATAAAGATAGAATGATATGACATGCATCAGTGCATTTAACAAAAAAAGCATAATCATGACTACTAGAAGCAAATCCAAGGGAAGAGATCACAACAGAAAATTTTTCAAACCAAGCATGAGGTGCTTGTTTGAGACCATATAACGCTTTCTTGAGCTTGCAAACATACCCAGAATTATGTGAAATACCAGGAGGGGGCGTCATATAAACTTCTTCTTGAAGATCTCCATTCAAGAAGACATTTTTAACATCAAGTTGAGAGATATGCCCCTAACAAACCGAAGCAACTACAATAAGAGTTCGAATAGTAGTTATTTTTGCAACAAGAGCAAATGTCTCCTCATAATCCATATCATACTGTTGAAAGTACCCTTTTTCAACCAACCTAGATTTGTATCACTCAACAGATCCATCAGAATTAGTCTTGATCTTATACACCCAACGACAACCAACAATACTCTTACCAGGAGGTAGAGAAATCAAATCTCAAGTACTTGTCTTATGCAAATCAGAAAGTTCCTCATTCATAGTTTGATGCCAAAGAGGTCAAGTATTGCTTCTTTATAGGAAGAGGGCTCAGAGAGACAATGAATAGAAGCTAAAAAGAAAATAAAAGATGAAGAATAACAAGAATAAGCAAAATCTGGTAGCTTTATGGACTTACGAATGCATATGGATTGACGTAGAGGTGGATCTACAATCTCAGATGGAGCTTAAGGGACCAGAGGAGAAGAGGTAGCTTCAGGTGTGCTAGAGAGTAAAGTGTCAGTGTCTGCAGAATGATCAATACGAATGGGTCGAGTATAATGTACAGGTAACAGGGTAAGAACATGAGAAGGGGTATTTGAAGTACTAGAAACTTGAGATGACAAATTATCAGAATCCTCAGAAAAAGGATCTATATGAATAAGATCAGATCTAGTCAAGCTATGAGTAGTGGATGAAATAGAAAAGAAATGTATATGCTCGAGAAAAATAACATGATGAGACACATAAAATTTTTGAGTTATTGGATCAAAACAACAATACCCTTTTTTACCTTCACCATAACCAAGAAAGACACAAATAACAGATCGAGAGGACAGCTTGTTGCGTTCAACATGAGGACGAAGAACGAAACAAGTACAACCAAAAACTCTAAAGGAAGAATAATCAAGGGCATACACATACAACTTTTCAAAAGGAGAAACACCTGAAATATGAGAAGATGAAATTGTATTAATCAAATCTACAGCAATAAGAACAGCTTCACCCCAAAACACACTAGGAACAGAAGCAGACAATAAGGGAGAACGAGCAGTTTTAACAATGTGCTTATGTTTTCTTTCAGCAACATCATTTTGCTTAGAAGTATCTGTACACGAAGTTTGATAAATAGTTTCATCTAAGGCAAGCAACTCATCAAATTTATTAGAAGTGTATTCCCCACCCAAATCACACCTAAAACATTTGATAACTTCAGAATGTTGAGTTTTGACAAGAGCTCGAAAGGCTGTATATATCTCAAAGAATTCAGAACGATATTTCAAAAGAAACATAATATCGAGCCCCTCATTTTGTGGCAACAAGAGAAGGTCCACATACATTACAATGATTCAAATCAAATGGAGAAGAAAAAACATAAATACTTCGATTAAAAGGTAAAGCTGAAAATTTTGCCAATTTACATCCACTATAATCAGAAATATCACAAGTTTACAAATTTCCTAAAGCCCCTGTGGATACCAAAAATCTCAAACGAGAAGACGAAACATGACCTACACAAGAATGTCATAAATAAAAACTAGAAGAAAAAGGACTCAAACGAAAAGAAGATAAATTAACACTAGTAGCAGCAGTAACTGACACTTTTAACTCATCCAAAATATATAGTCCCCCCTTCCTACGGTCTATCCCAATCAACTTCTGAGATTGCAGGTCATGCATATAACAAGAAGAAAAGGAAAAGGTGACCAAATTACTAGAATCACATAATTGACCAACAGAAGCAAGATTTAATGTGAGTTTCAAAGTATGATAAACATTAGGGAGAGACAAGTGAGGTGTGACAACAGAATCAATACCTGCTAAAGACATAGGAGTGTCATCAGCAGTTATAACAGGAAAAGAAGATGAAGCAGATACAGAAGCAAAAGATGAAGAATCTGGAGACATATGATGTGAAGCACCAAAATCTAAGACTCATGCAGAATGTGACATACCTGAAGAACTATGAGGCAACTGACCTACGGAAGAAGAAGCAGACATAGCTTGTGGCTGTAAGGAGAGAAACTTCTAAAATTGCTCAGCCAAAGTACTAGAATCGGTGAAAGGACCTGATGAAACTACTGCTGCAGTGTTGGACTGTGGTGGTTTGTAACCCTGAGGTGGTCTATGAGCAGTATATTGTAACTAGTTGCCAGGCTTCCAAGCTTGAGATTTCTGCTGCGATTGATTCTGCTATCTTAACTTAGGTCATTGAGTCTTCTAATGACCTTTCTGCTTACAGAAACTACACTCGTCAAAGGCAGTCCTTGTGTAAGACTTATTCTGATTATTAAAGAATGGTTTAGAAGGTATTGCTAGCATAGAAGGATTAGAAGTAGAAAGAATTCCCTTTTCAGAATAAGACTGCAGGCGTATTTCTTCAGTCAATAACTCACTGACAACTGAGTCACCAGAAAGAAGTGGAGAACGATGCAAAATTGAACCTCTAAGTCCTTCAAAATCACTACGAAGTGCCGTTAAAAATTGTACC